GGATTGAGATTAGCTCGCGTTTTTCGGCTTTCTTGACAAGTTGGGCGAATACCTGATGAAATCATGAATTGGAGAACCCACTTCTCTAGCTCGGCAGCAGTTCAGTAGAAAAAAGTGGGCGTGGTTGGAGGCAGGGTCAAGCGTGCGTTGAGGAATCCTCGACAGGTCGACAAGGGAGAGGTCTCGTATTTGGCCTACTGGGAGGAAGGGGTCGGGCCGGATCTATGCAGCAGGCATCATGCTAGTGGATAATAATCAAGGAGCGATCGATGTTGTGCAAGCTTGACAAGGGGATTCCGAAGAGATTTCTTCTAATGTTTCTCCCACATGAAAATTCGTGATTCAAAGGGCTCGCGTAGTGATTCTGAGCTACCTCAGTGATTTATCACGACAAGGTTAAAGAATCGGAAAATCACACTTTTCAACGGATATTTGATCTTTCTACCGATATGAAGGAATGTTAAGCACACGGAACGCTCCAGACAATTTCAGTCGGTTGCGCGCGCTTCAACTACGGCTCTTCGAGGGGAAAACCTCGATTCAAGAAAAAACAAGAGGAAAAAGAAAGGAGCCGTGAATAATGACAAGGAAAGTCCACTATTCAAGAAGAAATGGAGCTTCAGCGTCATTCAGAAACAATAATCGTAAGGTTGGAAATTGCTGAAGGTTTTTATACCCATTAAAAAAGCTTGTTGGTTCCGAATCTGCTCTTCTGCACAAAATAAAAGGACCTCGTTGAAAGAGTGCTAATGGAGCGGAGGAGAACTTACGGCGGTACTCAGGCGAAAATCCTTGACGGAGTCATTTCCGCAGGCTGAATGAATGAAATCATTTCAACAGGATAGAGTGAGTGATCTAGTTCAAACAGGATAGAGCGAGTGATCTAGTTCAATATGCTACATGCTATGCTTCTTTTCAGATTTATAGATTTGAAGGAAGTTATGGCTCTGGAAAATGCAAAAACTCGCGCTAACGAAGTAACTTCCTCGTTGATTTTGCAGAAATCCTCAACGTAGCTGTTTTGGCATCCTAAACGATTTGAGCCGGATTGATAACTGTTCAATAGGGCAACTCTTATAGTTTACAACGTCGTATTAACTGTCAACATTTGATAAATGAAGGAAGTCATAGCTCCGGAAAGTAAAAGCTCGCATTCATCTAGAATTTTACCCGTTAACCGATATATATTGGTTATTTCTAATTAGTTGTCATTATTTCAATGCTGCTCGGAAAGAGCTCTAAGAAAACTTGTGAATCTGTTTTTGGATTAGAAGTTTCTCCATTCGAAGAAAATAAAGTTACTTAAATATGTGTTTAAACTTCAATAGAAGACAAGCTGCTCCAAGACCAACACCCAAGGCCAATCAACACATAGCTGACTAGAGCAGTTACAATGTTTCTAACAATCAAAGTGTTCGTGCAGATTGAAAAGCAGACTCTGTGTAGTAGTAAGACTGTCTTTCAAAGGGAATGAGAGAAGAAGAGATGTTGAAATGGTATATTAGTTTCCATTACTCATAGTGGGTTTTTGCTTCATTTATTGGCATAATTCATGGGTGATGATATTTCTTTGTTTTTTTTTCTGCTTTTTGAGGGTTTTTTATGGCGAAGGTCGGGGTAGCATGATACTTTTGACAAAGGGTTAACGGTCAAGGCTAAGCAACTTTTCATACTTTGGCTCATGAGGAGAGTCATTTCATGGACTCAGCCGTTGAGGAGAGAGGGGCGGGGCGGGGGTTTAGGGGGATTGGAGTAGCATTTCAAAATTTTCCTGGACGCCTAGCTTGATCTTGGTTGGAGCGTGTCAACTGATCGACTTAAATTCTCAGTACCAAATGCTATAGAAGAAGCCATGGGGTGAGGGTTCAGGGCTGGTGAGAGAGGAGGATATAGCCCCCCGCCCAAGATGACAGCGACGATGGCGGAATTATCGATAGTATCGGGACCCCCCTAAAAAAGGCGGGGGTCCAATTTCTGGGACTGAAACAAAAAACGATTTACTCTGCCTACTAGTTAAAATATCTACGGCAGTGTAAGTATAGGGTAGTATTGCGCCTATATATTCTGTTCGTTTCGTATGTATTAGGCGTATCTGTGCTCTTCGTGTCGCTAGTATTGATTAGCATTTGTTTAGATCCTTCCCACGTTGCTGTTCTCATTCACTTAATTCATTCTCTTTGCCTGGGAAGCGGAATTTGGCCTTGGCTTGAAGTAAACACATGACTTAACATGTTCACGTGGTAATTAATATCATTGATAACCGTATAGGATTTTCCAACGGTTAGGGCAACCTTTGCGCCCGTGGAACTGAGTTTTTCCTCAGCGTCATTCCTTAGGAATAGTAGGCCTAAATTCTGATTTAGGTTTATACGCTTCTCCGTGAAAAGTTGACAAGATGACACTTCTCATTAGATTCACCACTGACTCCGCGAACAGCACACACGCAAGCTCCATTCAAATTAAATTCTGAGCCCACGCAATGGCAGCCACGGCAGTTTAATTCCTTGCTAACACATATACTACCATTGGAGAACTTCCGTCATCGATTACTGCATCGCTTAGCTTTTACTCGTCAATTTTAATGGCCTTTCTTCTTTAGATGTATCCTGTGTGAATTCTTGCATTCGAAAACACCACCGCGACTTCTGCGTAGCCCCATTCATAATTACTCATGAGAGGAGAGAGAGTGTGTCTGTGAAATCGAAATGGTGCAGCGTTATCATTTACCAGGAAACCATGGATGGCCACGAGACTGCTCGAAGTTTCCTCCATGTTTTCTGCCGAGAAGTCTAGAGCGCGGACAGTTAGAAACGATGTTTTCTGCATAATATCCATCAGGAAGTCAAGTCCATCGCGCGGCAAGGAAAAAGGGATGCGCGTTGGGTTCTCTACCCTTCGCACTGTCCAGAAACTCGCCTACTGATCTATTTATGTCTCCGACCCCTTGCCACACGGTAGGCTTCCGGAGGGGTGGGGGAGGTGTATGAGCACTTTTAATGTGGAAAAAGTTGAGGCGCAGTGTCATTGTTCTCATAAGGCGCTACTCAAGTGGAGTACAGACAGTGGCAGTGCCTTGCCACTTTTAAGGACCGAGTTCAAGTAGTCTGTACACGCATAAGAATAGAATACCCGAGTGGATTTATTGGGCGAATTGCTTTGCGCCGCGCACGAGACATTTATAACAGATCGTTTAATTAAACCAAGGGATGAAAGTGCACTCGGTTTGAGCATCGTGCTCTTCGCATCTGGCCGGCTCCAAGGGGCTTGAACAAAATGACAGTGATACTCTGCTTGCAGTCGAAGGAACATCAACGAACTCACCGTGCATATACTTTTATTTCCGGTCGTTATTCGCTTCGGAAGATTTTATGGCTTCGTTTTTGCAATCGTAGCTCCATTCAGTATTTCTATACATCGATGGTCGGCAGCAGTTGAATCAGGATAGAAACTTGAACTTCTTTGGCCTTTTTGATCCCAATTCATAAGAGCTGCTGGGTTGTCAGATATGTTCATGCACCCTTTCTTTTCTGTTTTACTTCTTTATTTCTATTTTCTGAATTTTCATGAAGTGAAGTCCCAAATTTATGTGCTATTGTCGGTCTTTCCTAAGGCTAGAACTCCCGATTAGTGGCTATGAGTGGCAGTCGCTTCCTATGCAGTAACTGTGTATCTGCATCCACTCGCACGACGAGCTCTTTGCGTATTCTCTGCATGCCACGGCCGACCTCACAAAAATGTATGTTTTACTTTCAAGGTTTTCTGTGCTTTCTTTGGCTTTCCTTCAGTTTCACTTCCACTTTCACCTACCTTATTGAGCGCTCTTACACGCCAACTTCATCTCAAAGCGAGCCTTTGCATTGTCAATTTGGTGAAACTTCCGGAACGCTGGGCGTTCCCGTGCTGAATCACCGTATGTACCCTCGCCTTCAACTAATCAGAAATTGTGCAATTGCAGAAATTGACGTGGCATAAACGTGGCATAGATTCAAGAACATCTTCGAGCACACGTGATGTCACCTTTTCATCGAGAACCTTTTCATCGTGGCACACGTGGCTAATCTCTCGATGAAAAGGTGGGCACAATTCCACTATTACTGCCCCAACACAAAATTTTATTTTTCGTCGAAACTTTGCCTATAAGGGTAATTCGATGCCCTGATTACGAATATGACATTCATTTTTGATGCTGACGCCATCTGGCGCCAGTTGGCGCTACCTTGTCACGACGGTTGCTTTCACGAAATTCGGGGTAAACTGGTACATAAGGGTTATTTGGTGTCCTGATTACTAATATGACAATCGTTTCTGGAATTGGAGCTGTTTAGCGCATATTTTCTGCTTTCCTGGGCTCTCTCACTCACACTATGCTTAAGCTAAGCTTGTTGGAGAAGGAGGACTCCGACGTGGGTAAACCACGCAGCATGTGACAAAAGTTGTCGTGTGTATATCAGGGGAGTGGCTCACTCACCTCTGAGTCCCCTTCCTCAAGGGCTTAGTCCTGGTATAGCGACCAACTCAGTGCGAGGACGCAGACGAACAGAAAATGGGCGCCAAATGGCGCAAGCCTCAAAAATAAATGTCACATTCGTAATCAGGACACCAAATAACCACTATGTACAAGTTTACACCGAGTTTCGTGAAAACAGCCGTCGTGACAAGGTGGCGCCAACTGGCGCCACATGGCACCAGCATCAAAAATGAATGTCATATTCGTAATCAGGGCATCGAATTACCCTTATGGGCAAATCTTCAACGAAAAATAAAATTTTGAGATTTTGGGGCTGTAATAGCGGAACAGTGCCCACCTTTTCATCGAGAAATTAGCCACGTGTGCCACGATGAAAAGGTTCTCGATGAAAAGGTGACATCACGTGTGCTCGAAGATGTTCTTGAATCTATGCCACGTTTATGCCACGTCAATTTCTGCAATTGCACAATTTCTGGTTATTTGAAGGCGAGTGTATGTGCTGTACCTTTTGTTCTTTTCTAATGTTTTCCAGGTACACCAATTGTTTTCTGGCTCAGCCAACCCCTGAGCCAAGCCCCAAGTTGTCGAGCGATTATCCGAAGGAAAAGGTGCAGTCAAGCCCTATTCATCAAAATGAACTGAAGGCCTACGCAGAATGAACCTCGCCAGCGATACTAGCATCGCTGTTCTTGTATCGAGAAAGCGAGTTTTGAGCAGCCCTTCGAGCGGTATAGTCTTCTTTACATACTGTGTTGATACTTATGGCCATAGAGCGGCAATTTCGCTTCAATTATACTCAAAAAGCTAACCATGTCAGGCATGTTCATTTATGTCAAAATCACGCTATTTTCAACGGGTCGCCGTAGAGTTTTTTGAATAGTGTTAACCCATTGATGACCGCGTGACCCGCCGGTAGGCCGCATCTCACATAGAAGAGACTCGCTTTGCTTGATTTGTTAAGTTCTTTTCTCTTGTTTCAAATGCATGTTCATACATCATCGAGTTCGAAAATAATACAACCATCACAAAATGATATCCAATAATTTAAGGATTGATGATGAAAAAAATGAAGAGATGCCACATTACATGCACAATGGCGGTCATCATCGGTTCGAGGATACGTAAATCCTCTGGCGCTTATCAATCCTTTTCTAAGAGTGCGCCGTGCATTTTACCTTGACCAAAATTGTAGTTTCTTTTGAATGCGATCAAATCTATGCAATCGATGTCCGGGAGGAAAGGGAGGGGAGTTGTAGTTCGTTATAGATGTCAGTATTTTCGAAAACTTATGGTACCAACTGACCGATGGAAAACTTGACTGGATCGGTCAAAGAATACAGGATCTGTAATTTGGTTCGCGGGCCGCGGGGGTTGTGTGCAGTGCATTTTACAGTAACATTTTATTAGGTTGTCTCATAAGTTTGTGCGTGTTTTGAACTTTTGTAAGCCCACTCTATTTTATGTACATGCATTATCTATCGTCAATGTATGCGCCATTGTTACCAGCAACTTTTTGCCTACGAACTACTGAAGGGTGGCCACATAATTCCCAGAGTTGGCACTTACAAGTAGCAATATAGGTAGGGGGTCGTACTTGAATGAACCCGGAGGGGGGTCGTACTCTCTCGTTGGCCGGCAGTGGGATTTGTCTTAATCTCCTTACTGATCATAACCATGTTTCAGGAAGAGCATGAGAAGGGAAAACTTGCAGAAGCAGCAGCTGCAATACATGTAGCATCGTCGTTCAAGAATGTGCTCCCACCATGACATGGGTCCACCCACGAACCCACATTTGAAACTATAGTGTAGCTGGAGTAGTGCCTAAGACAACATGGACAGTAGTCCCCACATTACGTTCACGCAAGGTAACTGATGCTGGAGCATCTGTAAGCATCTTCCTTCTGTATGAGCTTTCAAATGAATCAGCTAATCAGAAGCGCGACCGTGACCTATTTTATGTACATGCATTATCGGGAGGGGGGTCGTTAAAAAGAATCCAATAAGTAGCAACGATAGGACCGACCCTGCTTACGAGCTGAAAAAGGCAGTGAGCTCGATTTTGAGGAGACTATGGGAATCACATTTTTTGCCTACAGAAAGATTGCTGAGAAAAAAGGGTAGATAACTTTCGGAAGTGGCTGAATTCCGCTGTACATTGGATTTGGTAGAACTTTTCAGCTGAGCTTCTATTATATCTGCAATCGCGTCATGAAAAGCGTAGTTTCGGTTGCCGTGACTCGGACATTCTTTTTTTGAATTTTTAAGGATAGCGCTGAAGTTTCGCCTTAATTCTCTGCTGCTGATCACATTATACTTTACTGGCTTTGTAGCTGTAACAAGGGAAATGTTTCTGATTCTCAACTTGATAACGCCCCGAAAGAGGCGGAGCATCACCTTGTGGTGAATTTGATCACTTTTACCCACTTCTGCTCGATCCAGCCCTTGGCGCTTCCGAATATGGTCGTAATAAGACCTGTACTTCTCAACTGCAGTAGCGGGTTAGCTCACTCGGTGCGTACGCGTGGAGTAGGAAACAAATTATCGTGTCACATTCCTGTCACCTGGGATCAACTCATGAGGGAAACTTTGACAAAGCTTCAACCCTTTTACGAAGGAGCGAGAACTTTTATGAACTGTGCGTCTGAGACAAGAGGGTGTAATGGTCACGTAGTAGGTTGCTCCGCGTGGATCGGCTTCTACCACAGAACGCAGCCCGCCACAACAAGGACGGCTTTCCTAGAAGACGGTTTTCCTTCTGTCTGTAAGCAAAAAAGATTCATCCATTCTGATGCATCGTGGCTGGCGATGACAAGGAAATGTATAGGAAAGCAGATTCTACTCCCAGCTTCTATCAGTTTTTGATTCAGTAGACCTTCTTTTGTCGAAGCGTGAAAACCATGGCCCTTTTCTTCTCTCACCTTCAACTCGAAGAAGGCGACTAAGGTGGGCCAGTTATAAGTCACTTCACGTTGTTCACACTCCAAAACCTGTGTAAGCATAATTAGAATTCGCTGAAGGAGACTGTGGCATGTGATCTGAAAAATACGCACGAACTAATGGGACAAGCCAATATTTTGTTTTGCTACCGATGATGCGCCTCGAGTTGAATAAACAAACAAATAAGTAGACAATAGTATGGCGTCTTCAAATTCTTTGCGGTGCCAAAGTAGAAAATAAAAAGCGCAGGAACTTATTTAGTAATATAACATGTATAAGCAGTGTTAGGTTGGTGTTTCACCTAGATCGGAGGTGAGGAAGATTCTTCATGAGGTCGTACTCAGTTACAAGCTGCATATACTATGTTAATATGGCCATCTTTGCAATAGCAATAGTATATAGTAGAAAGGTGAAAAAATACGTACGCGTAACATTTTGCTTCCTTTCAAACATTAAGTGAGATTTATGGGTGCTTTCCTTGTGTCTCAAACTGTTTGTCCATGAATAGCTATAGGTTTGCAGAAGGCATTTGTTTTACAAGTTCTGACGAAGAGCTGCTCAAGTTGGAACGCGATTACTTGGCAGACCAACAGCTCGCCTGAGATCAAAACGATCTCTTAGAGGCTCACAATTTTTTACGAGCCTCTCAGAAAGTTGCCAAGAGAAGAAAGAGAAGACCTTCTCTAAACTGGACCCGTAAGAGATCAAGAACGTAATACACCCGATCTGTGAAGAAAGTAATTAAGAAGAGGAATGAGCAAAAAGATGACCTGAGCTTGAATGAGGGTGCCGAATATAGTAAACTCTCCGAAAATCTGTTCACTTGATGGCAAATATGAAGCGAGCAAAGTAGCTAATCAAATATCAAATGGGCCGTCTCCCACCGTTCATGCAAAACAAGATCGGGAGGAAAGTTTGAGAAGTTGCGGGAATCTTCAGGTGTGGCGAAGCTCCTAAGGAATCGAAATAATGGAAGTTTTGTGATTCTGAAAAGAACTGCTTAGGATTTGAAACAAATTATGCCTTGAATACTTCCGCCGCACCATCGTACTGAAGAAACAAATTGGGCCTATACAAAACCGATGGCCGCTCCTTAAAATCGTTGCAATCATGAAATCTTATGGTTCGATGTTTTACAAGATCGATTACTTACAAATTTTGATGAACAAAAAAAATAAAGCTTGGACGTGTTTTACGGTGCATGTGATGTGTAATTTTTCGCCACACCGTATTGGGAATGCTTCGTAATTAGCACAATCAACAAGAATAGTAACTCTTCATTATGCAAACCTTTCCTTCATGCTGGCCTAGATGTCGGATATCTGTTATATGCGCAAAAGCACAAGCTATTTCTCCAAGCGTCTTCGTCTCGCCATCTCGTTCACCTCGGGACTAGTTTTAGCCCTGACTTATATTCATCTTAGTATTCCTTCGCTGTTCTTGTGTATATTCATCTTGGTATTCCTTCGCTGTTCTTGTGTTTTTCGCTCAATCTGTCCTACTGCATCCGTTCTGGTTTGTCTAGAGTCTCACTATTGCGTAAATGAAATTTAGATGTACTCAAAGATTCAGAATGCGATGTCGTTGGTGAACTTTAGAAAGGCTCGCACTAAGAAAACAACCCCATTTGTGTCGAGAACGATTATTTTTTCTTCAACACAACAACGATTCATTCAAAACTAGCAATAGCATGGCCTTTGCCAGTGAACTGAAGGTTACCAACAACTCAACAGCTAGCCTATTTCTGAATTTTTCGCTCTTCTGTGAGAATACTTTTGTGGTTCAATCAAAGTTCTGAGGTAGATAAAGGTATTTAGAGAGATTCATCTGTCCAAGATGGCATAGACGGTGTATTCACGAGGGAAATTGATATGGCCTGAGCTCTTATGCATTCTCGCTGAGCTTATTGTAGGAAGTCTCATAAAGACTAGCGCATTATTCATAGAATTACCCCCTTTCGGGATGTGTCACGCGCTCAACCTTCATCCATGATTGTAGTGAATTTTTATGTAGTTCGGTTAATGCAATGACTTGTGCGCTCCCATTGTTTTTGTCAACATCATCGTCCTTCTAGAGAGGTTTGGGACCTTTTAACCGGCCCTCGGGATATCGAAATCTTGTTAGCCAGAACGGCGTGGTAGTTTTGATCACCGAACCGTGCGACTGGTAAGCTTCGCCATTGCCACCTCATCTATTCCGTTCTGAATTGTAATAAAATCAATGATCCGAGGAGAAACCTACACTGTTTGGATTGACAACCGAATAGATGCTAATTATGAACGATGGGAGGTTCATGTGGCGCGACAGTTCACACATAAAGTGAATCAATTTTACGCAGCTGAGGGAAAAAGGGTGGGTGTAAAAATGAAAGCGCAATGGTTAACGCACCTTGGGGGGGGGGGTTCCCCTTCAGCAAAAACTAAAATTTTCATAGGCGACAGCAACTGTCGCACCCCCCCCCCTTACTCCATGAGATCCACCACACAGTTCCGACCAACAAACGCTAATTGAAGTAATAAATCACGGGAGTCAGTGCCGTGAACCTTCGTCAATGTAACAGTTGAAGCAGTTGGTTTCAGTTTATGACCTTGGAATTGAATTCCGTAGTGTGTTTGCATGTTTCTTTGATTTTCTTGAAGGTTTCGTTTATGTAGCAACCTTCAGAATTCTATGTATGATTGAATGTTCAATTGAATCTTTTCCTGCGTCAATTGGGGTCTTG